TCCGGCTGTTTTTTTTTTTTTTTAATTATTGTAGAGATGAGGTTTGCCAAGTTGCCCGGGCTGGTCTCGAACTTGTGGGCTCAGGCAGTCCTCTCACCTCGGCCTCCCAAAGTGCTGGGATGACAGGCGTGAGCCACTGTGCCCGACCCGCAAATGAGTATTAACTGCCATTTCATGTCACCTTCCGGGGACTTTTCCTTTCATGCCCCCGGCCCTGCTCCCCCCTTTCCTGCCAACCAGGGCAGGGGCTTCTGTCCCTTAGCACCCTCGATCCTCAAGCGCCGGAGAGCCTAGCCCTGCTTTGCCATCTGGCTTTGCCCCTGGCCTGCTCAGACCCAGGGCCACGGTCCCTGTCCTCTGGCCAACCCCATGCTACCGCCTGGCTCTGCTCTGCAGTTTACCAGGCACTTTCCCATCCCAGCCCCTGTTCACAAGACTTCTAGAACACTCTGAGCCTTGTCAGGGCTGGACCTCGGACCCTCTGCAGTGCTCTTAGCTGTGGTTATATTTAGCCCACAAATTACATTCTGCTGACAGGAGCAGTCAGGAGTAAACAGGGTTTGTTCACAGTCTGTCCACTTTTATTACTTGCTCTCCCGCCTTCCCTGGTCTGTCCAGGCCTTGACCCTATGCTGATTTTTACATCAAAATTGTATGGCTATATATCATGTTGCAGATTGATTTCTTTTTCTCTCTTAGCAATGCCGCAAATGCTTCTCTGCATCACCACAGTGCCATCCTGATGACCTCAATTGTCATTCTTGAAGGCCACTGACATATCTTCCCAAGACAGGGCCACGAGCCACCCACCCGCCCCACTGCCCCCTTAGTGAGACCTTAAAGCTGTTCCCAGATTTCTGCTGTTATAAATACAGCCTCGATGACTCATTGCAGACTAAAAACATGTCGGGATTTTCCCTTGAGAAGAAATTCACCCGAGCGGGACCACTGGGTGGGGTGTTCTTGTCTTCGGTTCCTGGGTAAGACTGAAGCCCAGAGAAGCTGGATAACTCGCCCAGGGGCCACGGTGCCTCCGCTCTGTGGCCTTGAGTGGAGAAGCAGATGTGCCCTTTGGCTTCTGTTGGCTTCAGTGGGTTTCTAGAAAGTGGGGGTAGGGTCCCATAGGGTGCTGGGAGCTGGGTGAAAGTCAGGGCTGAGGGCTGGAGGTTAGTGCTGTGGGTTCTGGCGGAGATGGCTGGGTTCAGGAGACAGCAGGGCAGGCCAAGTGTGGTGGTGTGTGCCTGTAGTCCCAGCTCCTCCGAAAGCCGAGAGGGAAGGATCATTGGAGCCTAGGCGTTTAAAGCTGTGGCGAGTTGTGATTGTACCACTGCACTCCAGGCTGGGCAACTCAATCAATCAATCCACCAATTAATAAGAAAGCATACTGGAAAGAAATATATCAAAATGTTAATAGTTTTAAAAAATTAACAGTTGAGGCTGGGTACGGTGGCTCAAGCCTGTAATCTCAGCACTTTGGGAGGCCGAGGCAAGAGGGTTGCCTGAGTCCAGGGGTTCGAGACTAGCCTGGGCAACTTGGTGAGACCTTGTCTCTACAATAAATCAAAAAATTAGCTGGGCGTGCACCTGTAGTTCTAGCTACTTGGAAGCTGTAGGCACACACCACCATGTGCTTCCTCCCCACGCGGCCAGGCTTCAGGGTATCAGTGGAGAGGAGACCCTCTCACCCCCAAGCGATCCCCTCCCTCGCACCCACCGGGCACTCTGTTCTCTCTGGGCTTTTTATAGCCGTCCATTCTTCCTGTCCTAGATGTCCAGCCCTTGTTGTCTTGGTCTGGCACACTTCTTGTTCCTTCTCATATTCAGCTTACATGTCCCTCCTCCAGGAAGCCTTCCTGGGCTGCTCCCCTCACGATTCCTAGCACACTGACTTGTCTATGTGTCCGCCCCCTCCCACTCCCTGGACTGTGAGCTACTTAAAGACAGGGATTGTCCCTAGGGCTGACTCACCAGCCCTGTCTCCTTATGCCCACGGGGTGCTGGCACACAGTAGGTGCTCAATGGATGTGTGATGATGAATCCCACCCTGAGATGCTCTTCCCACCTCCCTCCACCTTGCTGCCAGGTTTGAGGCTGGGCAGGGCAGTAGGTATAGACTCCAGAGTCAGAATCCCTCCCTTCCTGGCCCTGCGACCTCGGGCAAGTTCTTTAGACTTTCTGTACCTCCGTTTCCCCACCTGAGTTGAGACAGAGATAGTACCAAGGACGGTTTAGAGAACTATATTTGCCAATAGCGTGACCTTTTGCAAAATGAATCCCAGTGTCTCATTGGCTTCCTTTGGGGAGGCAGAGCCGGGTTTCCAGGGAAAGTAGGGGAGACCTTCCAGTGAGGATGGTCCTGCCCGTGCCAAGTCTTTACGAGCACGGATGGTAAAGACTAACCAACATGGTTGAGAGGGCATTCCATGACCAAGCTCCGGGGCGGTGAGGCTCAGATGGGGAAGTTATTGATGCGTCGGTGGAGAAAAAGCACTTGAGTCTCTGGATTTGTTTCCAAGCCCCGCACAGAAACAGTCACCTCTGACATCTGGTTGAGTTCCTTGTTTGTTTTGGTAAGAGATTCCCTGAGAGATTAGATTCACACACCAAGTGATTCACTCATGCCCAGCTGATTTTTTTGATTTATTATGGAGACGAGGTCTCACCACGTTGCTCAGGCTGGTCTCGAACCCCTGAGCTCAGGTAATCCTCTCGCTTCTGCCTCCCAAAGTGCTGGGATGACAGGCGTGAGCCACCACGCCTGGCTCACAACCAGTTTTTAGAATATTTTCATCACCTCCCCACCAAAAGAAACCCTATTCCCTCAACCTCCCCCAATTACCAATCTACTGCATAGATTTACCTCTTATGGACATTTCTCAAACAAGCTGAGCATCCTGAATCCAGAAATCTGAAATCCAAAATGCTCCCAAAAAATTCAAAACTCTTTGAGTGCCAACAGGACATTCAAAAGGAAACACTTGTTGGACCATTCTGGATTTCAGATTTTTGGATCAGGTCTGCTCAACTTGAAGTATAATACAAATATTCTGGCAGGGCATGGTGGCTCATGCCTGTAATCCCAGCACTTTGGAAGGCTGAGGTGAGAGGATTGCCTGAGCCTAGGGGTTTGAGACCAGCCTGGGCAACTCGGCAAGACCTCATCTCTACAATAAATCAAAAAATTAGCTGGGGGTGGTGACACGTGCCTGTGGTTCCAGCTTCTTGGAAGGCTGAGGCGGAAGGATCGCCTGAGCCCAGCAGGTCGAGGCTGCGATGGCTGGGAGCGTGCCCCTGCCCTCCAGCCTGGGTGACAGAGTGAGACTCTGACTGAAAAAATTAATTAATAAATTAATAATAACAATACAAATATTCCCAAATCAGAAAGTTGGGACACTCTCTCTCCAGTGCCTAGCACCGAGCCTGGCACACAGTAGGCATTCAATATATACCCGTTCGATAAGCAAATTAGCACCGGACACCCTGCTGCTCGGGTGGGGTCTGTAACCACTGAAGGGGCTCCAGGGCTCTAATGAGAGCTGTCCTTGCCTTGCAGTCATCAAGAGTCCTCCTGGCTGGGAGGTGGGTGTCTACGCTGCAGGGGCCCTGGCACTGCTGGGAATCGCAGCTGTGAGCCTGTGGAAGCTCTGGACTTCGGGAAGCTTCCCCAGCCCCTCCCCGTTCCCAAATTACGACTACAGGTATCTTCAGCAGAAGTATGGCGAAAGCGTTGCAGAGGCCAGGCAGAAGGTGAGGCCTCCATTCCTGCAGGTGCACGCAGAGTGTAGCCCACAAACCCTCATCGTCCACTCTCAGGACCAGCCCCCAGGCCCTCCCCGCTCCATCACCCCTTCCTGGCTAATGTCCTCCTCTGAACGGGGATCAGACCATCCTTGTCCTCCTTCTATGCTCAACTCCTAGACCAGCACTGGGTAGTCAGGAAATGCTTGTTGACGGGTGAACATTTCCCATTTCAAAAACCATCCTTGGCGAGGTGCCGTGGCTCAAGCCTGTCATCCCAGCACTTTGGGAGGCCGAGGTGAGAGAACTGCCTGCGCCCAGGGGGTTCGAGATCAGCCTGGACAACTTGGTGAGAGCTTGTCTCTACAATAAATCAAAAAAATTAGCCAGGCATGGTAGCATGCACCTGT